ATCTGAAGCTCTTTGCATTATTTCTTCTTCTTACCTTTAGTATTATTTTTGTTCCACACTCCTAAAATGGGTGTAGTGTCTACTATTGTCCATTATGATGGTTTCATGAACCCATGTCCCATGGAGGGAGTTACCTTTAATATTGGGACTGCAAAACTTGTTCCTTTAAAGAGAGGAATTTCTCTACAAAGTTTGAAGAAGTTGATCTACAGGAAATTGGAGAAAAAACCCCACGAAAATGTAACAACCATACATTTTCGCTGCCCAACTAGACTCGGAGTTGGGATCAACAATTTCATTGTTGTTGAGTTGAAAGATGATGACGACGTGGAGGTCATGTTCGATGTTCATGATTCAAACTCAAGTCTATGTGGTATTAAAATTTTTGTTACATTTAAAACTTCTTCTTCTTCATACCCCAACACACACTCACCTGAAATCTCACCTTCACCCTACCAAGTTTTCCCAAACACTGACCCAGAAATACCCACAGATAATGACTACATCTCTTTTACCCAACTTCTAAGTGGGTCTTCCACCAACATCAATGAAGAACTACCCACACAAGAGAACGAAACTGTTGGCCTCCCAATTGAAGTCGTTGATCCTTTTAGTAAGGACGAAGATGAAGATGAAATTCTCAGCCAACAACAAGATGATTCAGAGGACGAACAACCACATATTCCTACACATGTACCAAACTTCATGGAACCATACAACCCACCACAACATTTTCTTAACTTCGAAAGTCACATTTAACAATAAGACCTAGAGTATGGCCATGCGTTGGACAAAGAGTCTTTTGTTTCTCCGGCAGGAACTCTATTTCTTGGACAACGTTTCATAACAAAAAAACAAGTTCAAGATGTCATCAATCACTTTCACATTGTCAATCACTGCACATACAAGGTGAAAATTTCAAACCAAAGAAGATATGTTGTTAAATGTGTTGATAATCAATGCAATTGGAGATGTCGAACAATATTGCGCACAAGAGAGCAATATTGGGAGATTATGAAGCTTGAAGGGCACCATACATGCGTTTCGCCATTAATCAGCCAAGATCACAACAAGTTGGGATATAAAATGATTTCACAAACAATTGGTCAAATAATTGATGCTGATTCGTCAACACCAATCTCCACAATCATAGCCCACATCCAATTAACAACGGGTTACACTATCACGTACAGGAAGACTTGGTTGGCCAAACAAAAGGCAGTGGAGACCATCTACGACAATTGGGAGGATTCGTATAAGAAGTTGCCTTGTTTGTTACAAGCCATGCAACAATTTGTTCCCGGATTCATTTACAAACTGCAGTCACAACCAGCTTACCAAGGTGAGGTCCTTCAACAAAATTCAAATATTTTTAAGCGTGTGTTTTGGACGTTTAGGTCATGCATAGATGGATTTATTCACTGCAAGTCCATTGTTCAAGTGGACGAAACTTTTTTGTACGGAAAATATAGAGGTACCTTATTGGTTGCAGTAGCACAAGATGACCGCAACAACATCCTCCCCATTGCGTTTGCGGTGGTTGAAGGTGAAACAAGTGATGCCTGATTTTTTTTCTTAAAAAACCTCCAAAGATATGTCACACCCCATCAAGGATTATGCCTCATATCAGACCGACATGAATCCATTAGAAGTGCATACATGAGAAATGGAAGCGGATGGATAGAAAATAATTCAGTGCATGTCTACTGCATTAGACACGTTGCACAAAATTTTATGAGACGTTTCAAAAACACCGCACTAAGGAAAGATGCTGTAAATATGGGTAATTTCTTTGCTTCAAATTTGTTACAATTTATTCATTATTTAACTATTGCTAATAAATATTTATATTAACTATATTTTTTTAATATTGTTGTAGCATATGAAATGACTGAACCATGATTCTACTATTATTACAACATCTTGAGACAATGGGACTTAAATGCAGCTAATTGGTTGAATGAGATACGTAGAGAAAAATGGACACTTGCATGGGACAATGGACGGCGTTGGGGCCACATGACGACCAACATAGCAGAGTCTATCAACTCTATTTTGAAAAAAACAAGAAATCTACCTATTTGCTCCATGGTCAACGCAACGTACACCCGCTGCAACAAATTTTTCATTGAAAGAGGGAGGCAGATAAATGCTATGATCAATGCTGGTCATGTATACTCTGAAATTTTAGTCACAAATTTGGAGAAAGCACAAATACAAGCAAACACACACATGGTCATATCTTTTGACAGATCTACCACAAAATTTATAGTAGAAGAAACACAAAATCCGCGTGAAGTTCGACCAGCAGGGAAATTTGTAGTTCGCCTTGATGAGTTGTGGTGTGACTGTGGGAAATTCCAGAAATTTCACGTGCCTTGTTCACATGTTCTTGCTGCGTGCAAGCATGCACACCATGAATTCAACAACTACATTCATCCAGTGTATACCTTACAACAAATTTCAAAGGTATACGAAACACAATTTGGGTTGTTGCGAAATGAAGAATATTGGCCAACATACATAGGACCTACTTTGTGTGCAGATCCAGAAATGAAAAGAACTTCAAAGGGCCGACCAAAATCAAGTCGTATAAGACTGAGATGAATATTATAGAAAATCAAAGTAGGATTAAAAAATGTTCATATTGTCATACCCCTGGTTATAGCAGAAGAACATGCCTTAATGTTGCACGTGCATCTACTTCACATCATTAGATTGTGTTAGTTAAGAAATGCCCCAATGTATGAAACTTAGGAATTTTTCAATTAATAAAACTTCTTCTTTGCAGAGTGGGGATTACCTACAATGTAGTAACTCATGGACTCATTTGTTCTTACAATAAGGATAACTATATTGACAAAAAATCATAATAGGAATACTAGTTTGTTGCATGAATTGTTAATATCCTTCACTTTAGTCCTTTTGCTGTTCAATCTTGTTCATGGTTGAATCGAAGATATGCTGACAAGTTGCAATTTGCAGTTCAGGGAGTGTATAACTTAAAATTATCAAGGATAAATTTTTTAATACGAAAATAATTAGATAAGCCTTTGCAGGTTTTATGAAACAATTATTTCAATCAACTATCGCTTGAGCGAAATTACCCATCACTTGAGAGAAAAAACACCCGAGATTACCCATTAGTTGCAGGTTTCTTCGCTCAAGCGACGTAATTCTCGTTTGAGCGAGAGTTGACCACAGACTAAAGCTTCAACGCAGTTAGCCACATAATGTAACTTGGATCACCACATAATTCAATCAGTTCTCGCTCGAGCGAAATTATCCATTACTTGAGCGAGAATTGACCACAGGCTAAAGCTTCAACACAGTTAGCCACATAATACAACTTGAGTCACCACATATTTCAATCAGTTCTCGCTCGAGCGAAATTACCCATCGCTTGAGCGAGAATTGACCACAGATTACCCATTAGTTTTAGGTCTCCTCGCTCAAGCGATGGATTTCTCGCTTGAGCGAGAGAAAAATAATCGGTCATAATTTTAAATATTCGATTATTTTAAAATTATGATCGATTAGTTTAAATTATAATCGATTATAAATTTTCTCGCTCAAGCGATGAGTTCCTCGTTTGAGCGAGAATTGCCCACATGCGTTTAAGTTAGCCAATCACTTCTCGTTCGAGTGAAATTACCCGTCGCTTCAGCGAGAATTGACCACAGGCTAAATGTTCAACGCAGTTAGCCACATAATGCAACTTGGGTCACCACATATTTCAATCAGTTCTCGCTCGAGCGAAATTCCCAATCGCTTGAGCGAAAAAACACCTGAAATTACCCATTAGTTTCACCTATCCTCGCTCAAACGAAGGATGTCTCGCTTAAGCGAGAGCACTTCTCGCTCGAGCGAGAATTTTTTCGCTCGAGTGAATTTAAACCCCACACAATTCTTAAGTTCCAAGTACTCTCGTTAAAGGATTCATTTCTGCGAGAGAAACGTGAATAATAAACAGTGCTATTTTTGTAAATAATGTTTGTGCTATTTTAGAAAATATTTTTTAAAATAGTATTATTTGTGAAAAAGAAGTCAAAATAATACTTCATATAATATATTATATATAAAAATTTATGTTAAAATAATACTTCAGTATCGGTTTTGATCAAGTCAAAAGAGTGCGAAAACGAATATCGCCAAAATTCAGAACCCTCTCGCCGAACAACACCACAACAAACCATCTTTTGTCTTTTCAAGGGGTCGGTATGGGGGAACCCGAGAACCCCATTTTTCCTCTACCATTCTTGCAACACTCGGTTGTTAGCTTTTTAAACAGAAAAAAAAAGAACCCTCGATACTGAGACACAGAAGATAAGCTAGTAAAGTAGACAGAGAATATACTGAAACTTCTGTATGGTTTTTAGCGCTCCAAATTTTACGTTCGTTAATGCCATCCATTTTTCATAAGCTTTTATAATACATATTAATATATATATATATATATATATATATATATATATATATTTTTTTTTTTTACCTTCGAGAAAACCAGGCAAGGTGGTATTTCTCTCTTGGAGGAGGCTTTTACTTTAACGCCGGAATCTGAAACAACAACAACATACCACATTTGTTGTAATAATAATAATAAGACTTGTGTGTCTGTTTCTGATTTTGTGGTGCTACCGTAAACCTCCATCCCCTTCTAATCCAACGTTTATCCATTGCCCATACCAGAATCAAAACCCAACCTTTGCCTAAACGCAATACCAAAAATATTATATTTAAAAGAATAAGAAGAAGAAGAGATTAGCTTTTAACTTTAGGTATCGATCATCGACCACCCAAATTGAGCCCCTTTAATCCATTTGCTCACAAGGGGAAGGACAACAATCTAGTACTTTTCTAGGTTGCATCTTGGCCCTTCTTGTTGTTTTTCATTGATCAGTGAAAATTGGTATTAAAAAACTCGATTTCGATTGGTGGGTGGTTGGTGGATTTGGTTTTCCCTCGATCTATTGATCCGGGGTTGTGGCTTTTGGGTTTTGATGTTGAGGATGAATAAAGGGTCACTTGATTACTGGAGGAATTACTTTGGAGCTGCGAACTCTGACATATTTGGTATCATTGACCATGCGATCATGGTGGCTGCTTCTGATTGCCCCGAGGAGTTCAGGATGAGGAGGGATGGGATTGCAGAGAGGTTGTTTTCTTGCAGATTGAGTCGATGTTTGGGGTGTGAGAGGGTGGAATTGGTTGTGTCAGCAGATAATGATGGTGGTGAATGTGGTGGTGGTTGCAAGAGTGGCTTTAATGGGGCTGGGGCTGAGTTTGAGTTTGAAGCGGGTGCAAGTAAAGAGAGCAAGGTCAATAGTACCAGAGATGATGATCCTGGAGAGATGAATACGAACCAAGTTAGCAATTACAGCTATGGGGAAGCTGAGGCGTTGACTGATGAGATTGAAGAAGAATCACAATATGTTGAAGAGGTGTTCAGGATCAAGGATGTTTTGCTCAACTGTGAAGAAGAAGTATGATATTAATTTTAGTGCGTATGTATATCTGCTGTGATTTTGTTCCAATTGTTTGGTTTTTGTGAGTCCAGATTAGCTTTCTACCAATTCCACCCCTACCTTATTTGTTTACTTCTGCATCAATAGTTGCTTCTCTGTGTTGCGATTTACTTGGTTTTTTCTTTTTGAGTTATAATGAAGATTAGGTTTCTCTTACTTTGTGAGAAGGGTACTGGTTAGTGATAATTACAGTATAGTTTACGGTAATTGCAATTTTCGATATTGCCTAAATGTGGCTAATGTGGCTTGGCATCATGGTCTCAGGCCTGGTGTTGCTGCAATTTCAGAGACCGGTTTCTAGAAACCTTGTCACAGAATATAAGTGGTTTTATTCGATAGCAACGAAGTTCTTATATGAAGATTAAATTGGTTTGTGTCCTGCGGTCTCCTGATTCATGGTTTTATACTTCATGTTGCAGCAGTCTGATTCAGTTTTGTTTGATTCATTGAGAAGGCTTCAGCTGATGGAACTCACAGTGGATCTTTTGAAGGTTTGATTGAATTGAGTCATCCCTTGTTCATTCATTAAGCCTGCCATTTTTTTGGCTACACAACATCTTTTAGTCTTCTGAAAATTAATTTTGCCAGGCAACTGAGATTGGAAAGGCTGTCAATACTCTTCGAAAACATGGATCAAATGACATTTGTCAACTTGCGCGGACTCTTATCGAGTATGAATTAATTTTTCTTCGATACTTGCTTTTCATGTATATATCCTCAGCATTCTATAAATGATAAATGAGTTTTTTTATCTCCTCCTATATGGACTAATGAAGATGCTTGGAACTAGTTTCCTTTCTTGCCAATTAGTGGTTTGCTACTCTTTGTGATACTATTTATGAACTCCAGTGAATCAATGGGTTTCTTCACTTTTGTTTTTCTAATCCATTCATCTCACTCTCATGAACAAGCAGTCAATAACGAATTATAGCAGAGTAGCTTTCAGCTGCTATGAGATTCAAATAGTCGAGGGATTTTCCATAATGGCTATTGCGCCTGTAATATAGCAAAAATACCAGCTTTTCACGCACAAATATAAGCTTCAAAAACCAATTAAACCCCCAAAATATTGTTGTTAATTTTTTTGTTTGGGTAAAATTGTGATTTCTCCTCCATTTTCTAATATGCATGTTTTGCATCAAGAAGCATAATAGGATTTGAAACTCGTCTTCCTTGACCAGTCCACCAAATGTAGCCTCAGTTTTTACTTTTGTTCCTCCACACTTTATAGGACTAATATTTTCTAGTATTTCTTTCTTTCTAGTTTCTTTAAACTTCCTAATTCAAATTTGCGTAAATTTATCTATTTTGTTATGTTCTTTTTCTAATAATTTCATCATCATCTTTCATTTTTTGATTTCATTACTATGTTCTTATGCCTCATATTGATGTTTTTGATTTCATTACTATGCTCCTATATACTTCAATTTGCTTCATGTATCGTACTTGATACGTATCGTGTTGAATACTTCAGGGTTACTTCATTGATACGTATCAATGAGTATCCAAACCTATGAAACATCAATACTTTTATTTGTTTTACAAATAATATTTTTAGATAGTTTAGTGATGTGTATGCCAGTTAAATGTTAAAACTTTTAAATTATTTATATTCAATAAATGTTAAGTATATATATATATATATATATATATATATATATATATATGAATCTATCAAATAAAACATATAAATATTAATTTTCATAAATCAAAATGATGGTCTTATTCCTATACGTAAATAATAGAAAATATGTTATAATGATAATTATTTATACTTTTTATTTCCATAATATCTAAGAAATGTGATTTGAAATTTGAACTTGCATGCTTTATAATTATTATGTTTCATGATTTTTTATTTTTACAGTATTATTTGCTCAAATGTAATGCTTATCAAAAATTAAAAGTGTCCAACCACCACTTTATACTTTCACATGTTAGCATTCTATGCAATTTAGCTGCACTTATTTTTCTCTTTCTGTGCTTTCTACCTTTTACTGACAAAATGGGTTGATAAACGGGAACTACTGGGTTTCTTCTGCATGCTTTAGGACGGAGTCTGTTCTATTTATGTTTGATGCAGATCTGAACATAGGTGCATGACTCATGATTAATTTCAGTTCAATTTATCAATTTGGATGTTCAAACATTTCACGTTCTTAAAAGTCTTCTATTACTTTTTTTGATTCATGTTAGTCTAGTAGTTTTTTTACTTGCGATACAAACTATACATCCTAAACATGGTTATTGAATTGTAGTGGCTGGAAGGAAATGGTGGATGAGTGGGTCACGGCTACCACAGTTATTGCAGGTATAAACATTTTATCCACCTTCTTGTGGAAGTGATCCTTAAAATTTTCTCGTCTTTCTAATTTTGAAATTAATTCATGCGTATAGGTTCTGAAGGTACTCCAGATTCAGTTAATCCATCTGTTGTTGATGACGAAGAAGGGCTTCCATCACCTCCTATGGATGAAGGGGCTTTATTTGCAGCTCCAACTGGTTCGATGGAACTCTCCCAGGTACTTAAATGTCTTCCCTCCACCTTTCTCGTATTAATGTTTTGCAGTATTTTGACAGTTAGAAACTAACTTCAACTTCTCTTGGTTGGATGTCACATAACTTGATGATGTAAAGTTCTTTGATGGCATGGATGATGATGGAAGTGAGTCGACTTTGCAATTTCTTTGTGCCTAGTCCAGCTAGCTTTTGCTCTACGGTTCTTTATTTGATTTCGCAACTTCTTAGATTGTTGATTATGGTTGGGGATTTCTGTTTCAGATCCTCGACAGTGTAGGGAATTCATCAAGAACCATGAACATGGAAGAAGATCATCTCTGAACCGTCAAAATACAGCAAAGAGGAAATCTCAGACATCAAATGAGGTAAACATTATTGCCAAGGACAGTAAGGGTCAGCAAGCAAAGAAAGATGAGGCTGCTGTGAGGTCAAATAAACCAGTTATCGCTGATTCTGGCCCTGGCAGACCACCGAAATCAAGCATGCAGAAAAAAGGCTATATTGAGCTGCAGATGCAACAAAATACAGTGAAGAGTGCTATCCCAAAAAATCCTCATCTTCATCAGCTAGATGTAAGGAAAAGTTTTCTTGGGGAATCAAGTTTGTAGATTTAAATTTTGTAATTTCATTTCTTGTCTATCAGAAACTCAGGTGTTTGGATGATGCTTCTGCCCAGGTGAAGTTAGAAGCCACTAAAAGGAAACTTCAGGAGCGGTATCAACAAGCTGAAAATGGTTTGTCTTTTCTTTTCCAAAATCTATGTCTCCTTTTCTTTCTAATTGTAATTTTTAGATTATAGATTTCTTGAGAGCCTACTCACAACACAGTTAAAACGAGCAACCTAGTAAAAACAGGCTTCCCACCGAATGGGGTTTAGTCAAGGATAGATGGTACTGGCCCAGGGAGACTGTTTAAAAGATTTGAACTTATAACCTCAAAGAATCAAGGAAACAATCTTACTGATGTGGTTGTCACTCACTCCGATACTATTACTAAAGTTGACAGCTATTGAGAATTGTAGAAAGGTTTTCATTGATTGAAAAGAAAGTGTACAAACTTATTATATGTACAGCTGTCAACAATCAAAATTATAACTAACAGAATAACAAACTATCTCTTAATACTCCTGATACCCTCCTCAAGATGCAGAGTTAATGTTTAATATTCCCAGCTTGTGAATAAATAGAAACCTCAGGTAGAGGTAATGCCTTGGTGAAGATGTCTGCTACTAGGGGCTGGCTTTTAGGATGCATAGACTTACGAACATGAGCTGGACCAACTCTAGTATTAAATGATAGTCTATAACAATATGCTTTGAATGTGCATGATGAGGACTGGAGGCTAGATGAATAGCAGATTGATTGTCACAAAAAACCATGGCTGAAGCAACCTGAACCTCATAATGGAGGAGTAAGAGACGAAACCAGTCCAGTTCACTAGCAACAGGTGATGGAGACCTTTACTTGTATCAGCAGAGGATTTGGAAACTGTAGGCGTCTTTTTGGATTTCCAAGAGATTTGGCAAGATAACTAGTGTTTTTCAAAAGAGATAATGTGTATTTGCGTTGGGAGAGGGATATCCCTTTGTTAGAGTTAACATTTCCTAAACCCGAAAAATACGTCAAGGAGCCAAGGATTTTCAACTTGAATATATATTGAAGACGACTGTGTAACTCATGAACACTTTAGAATCCAGACCAGCTAATGTTATATCGTTAATGTAAACTAGAAGAACAACCAAGGAAGCATCAGTGCCATTCGTGAATAAAGAATATTCATTCTTTGATTGAAGAAAACCATGATTCAACCAAGTGGAAGAGAATTTGCAAAACCATTGTTGTGAGGCATGTTGAAGCCGATAAAGAGATTTATTCAGCTTGCAAACAAGATTCTTATTAACTGTATGGGTAATCAGGAGGTAATTCCGTGTATACTTCCACAAAAAGCTTACCATTGAGAAAAACATTGTTGATACCCAGCTTAATAAACTCCATTTCCCTGCAACACCAACTGTGAGTAGCATAAAGACTGAAGTAAGTTTTGCAGCAAGTGAGAATGAATCTGAAAAATCAATTCCAACCTATTAGTGTAGCCTTTAGTCACCAAATAGGCTTTATATCTATCTATTGTGCCATCAATGTTGTAATTAGTTCTGTAGCCCTGTATACAACCGATACAATGCTTGCCTGGTGGTAAATGGACTAGAGACCATGCTTCATTTTCCTCCAAGGCATGAATTTCAATTTCTTGGATCATAGCCTAGCCTGTCTCCATTCCAGAAAAGATACAATTCGGTGAAATAATTGAAGTTCGCAAGTGGGTGTGATTTGGTTAATGAAGTTTATGTAAGGGGTTTGAGGTTTTGTATAAGAAAATAATTATGAATTGGATAATTTTGTGAACATTGCATTAGAATGTAGTTACTTTAATTAAGTTGGGGTTCTATTAATTCTAGCATATTGATGGGGGTACATGAGTAAAGGATTCTTTGGATTAGAGTTTTCTTGGTAAGGCAGATGGTTTGTAGGTTTAGGTATGGTCTTAGGAGGATGAAGGGGAGTAAGAATGGGATCAGGGACTGGTAAGGGAATAACCAAGACATTTAGAGGATTAGGGGCCTCAAGTGAAACAGATAAGGTTTGGAAAGGGAGAATATATTTCATAGTGTTACAGATCAACACTATCAATTAGAATAATTTAATTTTGATTTGTACTAGGCATAATAGGATTTAATGTTGATATAATCAGTTTTATTTCTTTATTTATGTACAACATTTATAGGGAGAATATTTTCCTGATTTTCAGGGATAGATTAGTGTATAGGTTTATTATCTTGTATTCTATTTATACCTCCTTTGTATCTTTTCCAAAATAAGAAATATTATTTTTCCGTATGGTATCAGAGCCCGATTTGAATCATCCCTAACCTAGTGCCACTAACCATGGGAGAGATTAAGGCAGAAGGTTCGACCACCAGTTTGGTCGAAGGTCATGATCTTCCTATCATTGATTACAAATTAAATGGTCGGGTGCGTTCAGAGGCAAAATAGACAAAAACCTGGATAGTAGAGGCAACACAATAAACGTAAATTTTAATTCATCTCCATTCAGCAAGGAGCAAATGGAAGTACTACAGAAAATTTTCCACCAAACAATTGGTACAGCTGTAGGAGCACAAAAAGGTAATTTCTTGCATGCTCTAAATACTAGCACAGGAAAATCAAAGTCATGGATCATTGATTAACGAGCCTCAGATCACATGACTGGAGACTCAACCATGTTTAAAAGCTATACTCTATGCCTAAACAATTACACAGTTCGGATAACAGATGAGACTCTTTTTAAAGTCATGGATAAAGGTTCAGTTATTATCTCACAAAATATTATCCTGAAGTCATTCCTTTATGTGCTTAAACTTGACTGCAATTTGTTGTCCATTAGCAAACTGACAAAAGATTTGAAGTGTGTCACCAAATTCTTCCCTAACCTATGTGAATTTCAGATTTTGGAGCGGGGGAGACGATTGACATTGCTAAAGAATGTGTTGGACTCTATTGCCTCCAAACTGAAGTGTCAAAGGCGGAACCCAAGGCCAACTCTTGTGCAATGGTACCTAAAAATGAAAATTCTGTAATGTTGTAGCACTATCAGCTTGGCCACCCAAATTTTAAGTACTTAAGAAGAATGTTTCCTACATTATTCAATAAACATCAGGAGTTGTTTCAATGTGAAATATGTCAATTGTCCAAGCATACCCGCCACTCCTACCCGCCTCAACCCTATAAACCTTCTTAACTTTTCTCCCTAATTCATAGCGATATATGAGGACCATCACGGGTAAACAATGTCACTGGATCAAGATGGTTTGTCACCTTCATAGACGATCACACATGGGTCACTTAGGTGTTCCTAATGAAGGAGAAATTAGAAGTTAGTAGAATATTTTAAGGTACTTAGGAGTGATAATGACCAAGAGTATTACCATTTTGCACTAAGTTCCTACCTTCAGAGACACGGAATCATACATCAGATGTAGATGTCCCTCAGCAAAATGGGGTCGTTGAGAGAAAGAATAAACATCTCTTAGAAGTGACCAGATTTCTCATATTAGCTACAAATGTACCAAACCAATTTTGGGGAGAAACTGTCCTCTTTGCAACCTACCTAATAAACATAATGCCTTCCTGAATCCTTAACTTTAACACCCCTTACGCTACTCTCCAAACCTCATACCCTGCTAGTCGTATCCTTACATCCATTCCCTTGAAAATATTTGGATGTTCAACCTTTATCCATAACCTCCATCCTCGTCGCAACAAACTTGACCCAAAATCCATCAAATGCATTTTCCTTGGCTATTCTCCCAACCAAAAAGGGTATAAATGTTATTCACCTCAAACCAGGAAATTTTACCACACCATGAATGTTACCTTTTTTGAAAATCAGCCTTATTACCTTAAAGTTGGCATTTAGGGAGCAGACTTATCCAATTTATCCAATTGAAGTGGCGGAATCTCAACTTTTGGAATCTGCCCCAAATGCAGAACCAACCAAGACTGCACCTGCAGCAGAGGAAAATACAGTAGGAAATGCAGAGCCAGCGAGACTGCACCTGCAATAGAGGAAACTGTACCAACTGAAGCTAGAGAGAGGACTGCATCTTAGCAAAATCAAGGCCCTATTACATACTTTAGGAAGAAAAGAAAGGAAGTAGAGTCTAGCACAACTCTAAGGCAAAGTCATGTATCAAACCAAGCCTCAAAAAATGAGTTTTCCCTAGGTAATATCGTTTCTAATCTTGAACCTATTGATGACATTGACATTCCTATTGTATTAAGAAAATGGGTGAGATCTTGCACTCAACACCCGATTGGGAATTATGTGTCTTATGAAAAATTGTCACAGGGGTATAGGTCGTTTGTGGTAGCTCTTGACAACATACGAGATCCCAAGAAATGTTCAAGAGGCACTCCAACAACCTCGAATGGGAAACAGCTTGTAATGTAAGAAGTCCAGACCTTGGTTAAAAATGACACATGGGAAATCACCACCCTACCAAAAGGGAAGAAATCGATTGGATGTAAGTGCATATTCTCCATCAAATACAATGCAGATGGTAGTATCAATCGGTATAAAGCCCGACTAGTGGCGAAAAGGCTTACCCAATTGTATGGAGTGGACTACGAAGAGACATTTGCATCGATTATCAATCCGATTTATACTTTCTTTAGCTGCAGATTTAGATTGACCACTTTATCAACTAGACATCAAGAATGCCTTCCTAAACGGTGAACTGGAAGAAGTCTATATGCAAATTCTTTCGGGACTTGAATCATCCAAACCTCAACACATGGTGTGTAGGCTCCAAAAATCTTTATATGACCTTAAGCAATCTCCGAGAGCATGGTTTGATAGATTGACTCGGATTGTCAAAGAAGATGGATTCAACCAATGCCAATAAGATCACATGATGTTTGTCAAGCACTCCACAGAAGGGAAGGTAGCCCTGTTCATTGTTTATGTTGATGATATCGTTATCACAGGAAACTTTTATGATCAAATCAAGCATTTCATGAGACTTTTTAGCCAAATAATTTGAAGTTAAGGACTTGAGCCAGTTCAAATACTTTCTAGGGATGAAAGTTGCTTAGACGAAAGATGGTATTTATGTATTACAAAGAAAATATATACTCGGATTTACTTCAAAAAACTGACCTGACATGCTTGGGTGTATGACAGCCAATACTCCCATAGAACCAAAAAAAGAGAGGTGAAGAAGAAAGTCCATCAACTGATAAAAATAGATATCAAATACTAGTTGGGAAGCTAATCTACCTAACTCATACCAGACTCGACATTGGGTTTGCTGTTAGTCTAGCTAGTCGTCATACATCTAATCCAACTAAGGCCAACATGAGAATGACAAACAGAATACTCCAATATCTCAAAGGTATACCGGATCGAGGGCTCTACTTCAAGAAGAACTCAAACCATATTGATTCATATTGAGCGAGGATGTCCCTTTGACGAGAAAATCAACTACAGAGCTACTGTTCCTTTGTATGGGGAAAATTGGTGACTTGGAGAAGCAAGAAGCAACCTGTGGTGGCAAGGAGTAGTGCAGAAGCTGAATTCAGAGTTATGACTCAAGGTATCTGTGAAGAAATCTGGCTTAAGAGGATGTTGGATGAAATCAAAATTCCTATAAATTACACTATGAGGATAATGTGTGACAACAAAGCTGTTATAAGCATAACAAAGAACCCAATCCACCATGATAGAACAGATCATGTGGAAATTGACCGACACTTCATTAAAGAAAAAGTTGATCATGGTATTATGACCATTTTCCATCATGCAAACAAACAACAAATATCTTGACAAAGGCTCTTCCAAGGAACACATATGAAAACATTAGATCCAATCTGGGTAGGGTTACCACCCAGATTAAGGGTGAGTGGTGGAGATCAGCGCTATCAATTAGAATAATTCAATTCTGATTTGTACTAGGATTTAATGCTAATATAATAGGATTTAGTGTATAGGTTTATTATCTTGTATTCTATTTATACCTTCTTTGTATTTTTTTCAAAATAAGAAATACACAACGTATATAGAATGTCATGTAGTAAAAAATAAAGAACCTCTTAGAGTCAAGGTCATAAAGCCGATATCCTTTGTATCCCTTTGGATATCCAACAAACTTGTTCCTATTGGAAGGAAGAGTATCTAGCGGCAAAGCTAAACAACCAAAAGCTTTCAATGATAGATAATTCCGATCTAATTGAAAAATTAAACCACCATTCTTTTGCTTAAAAACGTTCTTTCAAATCATTTCATATAGTCATTGCTGTGGAATAGTGAAGAGCATTTGTTTGCATTTCCTTTGTTAGAGAATTCAAGATCCTTGAAGCAATGATGTTGTTGCAATGCTGGGCAACATGATTGGGATTTTCCATCGGAAGCTCATGGATGGAACAGTTGACAAAACCAAACTTGTTCTTGCCAAGGAGAACCATCTTGATGGGTGTTTGCCAAGAACACATAAAAAGGATGAGAAACGAGAACATCCATGGTGAAGAGATTGAATTTGGAATCATCCGTTGTAACCATGGAGAACCAAGATATATCTCATGAAAGCGAAAGAAAATCTCTACTTTTGAGAATTGTAGTAAGGTTTCCATTGATTGAAAAGAAACAGTACAAACTTATATATATACAGCTGTCAACAATCAAAAGTGTAACTAACTAACAGAAAAAACGGTTATCTCTTAATTCTCCTGATAATAGCCTTTAAATGTTGGATATGAAATATGAAGATTTCAAAATTTAGAGCCTGATTTGGAAGCAAAAATTCATAACATATGATGTATCTCAGTTCATAACTAAATATATATATTGATGAAACTGCTTCTTGATGAATCTCATTTTCAGCTAAGAGACAGCGGACAGTACAGGTTATGGAGTTGCATGACCTCCCAAAGCAAGGTATTGGGCACCGAAATCCACATGTGAAAACCGGAAGCCACAAGAAGCAATGGGGTGATGGACGAAGATAGAACATTTAATTGTTAATTTGGCTGCATTTTCATGTTTCCAAAATCCGGACAAGAACTCCCTTTGCTAGCCATTATTGAAGCTTCATCCTCTTAACCATGCAAAAACAAAAATTCAGTTCACCATTCTTACCTGTATAGTTGTTGTGACTGGGAGGAAATAAACAGAGTCACTGTTTATTTCCGACGTTAAAAAGGTTGAATATGTATATAGAATTTTGTTGGTCCAAGATTGGATTTGGAAGAGGATCTTTGAGCACTTGATTTTTGATGTGGTTATAAATTGGCTATCCATTGGTTCCATCTTCATGGTTGATCATTTAATTTTGGACAATTTTGTTTTGGGGTCTCAACTTTTCAGCTCTCTTGTGACAAATTCAAGAGGTCTGGTGTATATGTAAGGAAGTTGAACATGATACTATTTAAGAATAAGGCATAGCATTGAAGTATAATTTCTTTTCTAGTGGTAGCCTTTTCAACTTTTTCTGCATGCTGTGTGTTAATTAGCGTTTTTTAATTAACTTAAAACAAAATGCTCCGGGTGTATGATGACACATGATATTGTGGACTGAATTAATTACCAAGGCTTTGAATAATCCTTTTCTAATATTGAATATGCTATCCAATTAATTCTAATACATATTTTTGTTTTAAATTACAATGTGAATAAGATAAACTCTTATAATTTGAAAGCCTTTGATGGAACAGCTAAAAGAGAACTATAGAGGTGTTCATAATACACCGAAAAAAATAATGATTATTTTATATATAAATTATAAGTATAAGAACAATTCATAGCATTAAGTATTTGTTGATCAATCCTTACAGCATTAAAGAAATTTATGTGAGAATTTTATGTCGGTCTATACTAAGACTAATCTTTATTAATTTTACAGCATACTCGAGAAATAAAAATTACTTTATATCTTATAACTGTTTTGCATACTAACAACTCTTTGAATGATTTCAATTAAATTTCATTAAATGATTTGAATCAAATCTAATGATATCAATAAAAGCTTGGTTTCAATCAAATCATGAATATTTCCTTTCATTTATATTCTCCAAATATTTTGAATATATTATTTTATTTCAATTGTGCTAGTAGATAATATAATAATATTCAATCTATAATTAATTACTATTTAATTACTTTAAATTCTCTATTTAATAGTCCAATATTAAAATTATCGTATCTAGATAGAATGCAATAAGACAGACATGTTTTACTTTCTAACATCATTTAGAAATAATATATAATATTTTCTTCAATCCTATAAACTTTGAATTAACTACCAATTTTGGAATAATTGTCAAATTCTAATAAATTAATTTATCATTTAAGAAAAAAACACATTTCTTCTTTCATTCAATTTAAGATGATCAAAGTTTTAATTTTATTATAGAGCTTAAGCTCATTTACTAAAAGTGGATGAATCCTTTGTTGAATAATCATTAATTTTGTATCTTAAAATTCTTAATGAGACCCACAAGGATAATAAAAAGAAAATATGAGAAAGAAGATGAGAACAGATAAAAACAGGAAAGAAAAGAAACAAATATGTATGGAAATAGAACCCAAAAAGGAGGTATATATATAGATATAGAAAAGCAATTAGAAATAAAAAATGGTTAAGAAGCACTAAACAAAGGTTGTTGACAACTCCTTCAAGTGAGAGTAAATATCACACATTGCCAGTTTGGAAATGTGAATATGAAAGATTGAAGTAGGTAAGACTTTGGTGACAAGATAAACTTACTAAAATTTTGAGCTATAAGGCAACAATTTTATGATGCCTTGATGAATCTTTTCTCTAACAATATGACAGTCAATTTCTATATGTTTTGTACATGAAAAACTTTGTTTGAGGCAATCTAGATAACAAATTGATTGTTATAATATAAGAGAGATGACTTTATGTATGGAACATGAAGATCTTCTAAAATGTCGGAGAGCCATTGAATTTCACATGTGGTAAAGACAAGAACTCTATATTCTACTTTAGACAATCTTCTAGAAACTGTAAGTTGCTTTTTGATTTCTAGGAAATTGGATAATGAACAAGATAAACAATGTAGTCAATAATAGATCGACGTCAACATTATTAAAAGCTTTTAGTTGTAGATTCATTGTTAGCACTAAGCAAAATTCCTTATTTAGGAAAACCTTTTAGATACCTTAGGATCAACAAGGTAGTATGACAATGATTAGTGGTAAGAGCATCAATGAATTGACTAAGATGATGAACCGCACGAGTAATATCAAGTCCGATGTTGGTAAGATAAATCAGCTTGTCAATCAATCTTTTGTATGAAGTGGAATTAGCAAGGGGCTCACTCGAAGAAGAATTGACCCATTTAAAGAAATTCATAGGGGTGGTAGCTAGTACAGATCCAAGCATGCTGGTCTCATTAAGAAGATCCAATGTATACTTTCTCTAACAAAGGTGTATTCCATCTTTGTTTCTTGTCTCCTCGAAACCAAGAAAATAAGTTAAATATCCCAAAATGGTATAAATATTAAATAATTTTCTTTATTAAATAGAACCATAAAATTTCCAGTTATAGAAATATAATACTAAGAAAAGTTTAGCCAAATCTCTAAAAGATTCATGGATCAACTCGGATAAGCTTCTACAAAGTTCTAATTAAACAGAGAATGAAAATCTTGTAAAGACACTTTGATGCTAAGTTAGTATGTGAACAAAATAAATAGAAATAGTATTAAAAAATTATATCAATCATCCACAAGTGTTTACTTAGTTTAATTTCTAAAAATCTTAAAGAATCTAAAAGGATGGTAATTAATTATCTATATTAATTATCAATTATTCTATTTTAAATATATTTAATATGTAACTGGATAATTAAGACAATAATAAAATCATTTACTATCTCATAAAGGAGTTTATATATCTTTCAAGAAGCATGAGGGCACAAAAAAAAAAAAAAAATAATAATAATAGATTAAAATTAGGTATTAACAATTAGCCCTCTTTACTTAAATTTATAAATTGATAAATAGTGAAAGCTTTCATATTATTACAATAAATTATAAGTAAATATATCAATCCAATTTTGTTAAAGAATGAAAGTTATTGAGTGGTAATCATGAGTATGGAGGTTTGAAATGTAAAAAAGAATTAGTATGGAGACTTGAAAGGTAAAAGAGTGGGTGCAAGGACCAAAATGCAGTAAAACAGACCTGAGGACCCAAATTGCAATAGAGTGGATACCATACCAGCATCCAAAATGTAAAAGAGTGGGTGCATGGATCCAAAATATAAAAAAATGGGTTTGGAGATTCGATATAGAATAGAGTAGACACAACACAAGGATCCTAAATATAAAATAAATTACCATTGATTATCCTTTCTTCATATGGTTGACATATGTTCATGAAGGGCATTAAGTCATTGTGATACAAGATTTCATTACAATATATGAAAAAAATATAGCCAGTTCTTTATTTTTTTCTTAATTTTTAATCAACCACACTAAGGAATACAATGTTAGGGTAATGATTAACTATCATACTAAAATATATATATATATATATATATATATATATATATATATATATATATATATATATATATATATATATATATATCCTTTATAAATAACCTATTTTGCTTCCGCATCCTAGATGCAGCTTTAAAAAACACGTCGTTGTTGATAACACGTACGTGTTTAAAAGTAAAAAATCATTTTTAAAATAGATATAAACAAAATAAGAAATAAAATTAAATTTCCAATAAAAAGAGATTAAACCTTTCAACTAAAATCATTAAGAAATATACATATTATCTTCTATCATAGGGTTTATTAATTTATCATACAGGCTTGATTGTAGTGCAAAATTAACAAATTACTTTGGATACATATAATAAAAATTTATACGAACTTTTTTAATACGTAAGTCAATCACAATCGTCAAAATCAATTTATTGTCCAAATTTTTATCTTTCTTCGTTGCATTTCAATTGTAAATACTTTACAATACCAGCAAACCAGATGGAAGCAATAAAAAAAAAACACCACTTATAACAACTATAGTCGTTCATTGTAACTACTATATTGAGTCACCACAACCAACATTTATATTCATTTATCATATTTCGTGAGTTTGTCCAAAGAAATATAATAAAAATAATATTAATATCTCAAGCCAATCAGTCTTGATCATAAACGAGGTTGATTCGAATTTTATTAATTTAGTTCGAGTTCTAGTTAATAAGAACAATGGGGAGATTCACCTATAAAACCACTTTGATGCTTAAGTTAGTATATACGTATTTCTAAAATGATTTAAATGAAATATTTTCGTTAAGATAATCTCAGAAGGTACATTAATCCCTCGAAACTCAAAATCTAAAAATGAAGATGATGAAAATAATCTCCTCCTTCCACCAAAGATGCCCAAGTCCACACTTCAAGCTCTCAATTCATTGAAAATTATTTTCGAAGTCTCAAAAGAGGACTTGATACTAGCTCCTCCAAGGAAGGTTGCTTGTGTAGGAGATAAGGGAAGAAAATCTTCAAAAGACACTTAAAAATAAGGCAAAAATGGGGTACACGCAAAATTGAAAGTTTCACATACTAAGTTTAGTTTTCATTCAAATGTGCCAAATGAGTTATACAAGGGATTATATTTATAGTATTTCCCCTCTTATCCACTTCAAGTATTTAGAGATGTGAGACTTTTCCTACTCGGTGGTTCTTGACCATGAGCTTAGTGTGGCCACCATGGTTGCTTGACCAAGTGACTTGTGACCAATATTTGGTAGCACCTTCTTGGATTGGGATGACTTCTCTTTTATGTTTCGTCTTCTTTTAAGTTCCACGTCGAATAAGAGAAGGTTTCTTCAAGTGTTTGCTTGGTTGGTGCGTTCCATGGCTTGGTGAGCGTCTTGGCTCTTGTGTGCTTCATGGCTTAGTGCTCCTTATGACTTGGTGAGTCTTTGGACTCTACAAAAGGAAGAGAAGGTTTAATTCAAGAC